GAAGCAGCTCTCCCTCTGTGACTCAGACCACACAGAGGATTGTCAGTGCCTTGCAAAGAGCCACATATTCTGGGGAATGAGAAACATAAGCCACGGGCTTGCAGTGGCATCATAACACATGGCAACAAAGCCACATGAATATTTGTCGGTGCACAAGAACTGTTGCCCCAGTAGGGCAGACCCAAGGCAGGATCCACCATGTAGGATACCAAAAGCCAGGAGAAGCAGCAAAGCTATGGATACACAAAAGGGTACTCAGCCAGCCAAGGCGCTGGGAGGGATGGGTGGAGGACAACAGCCTAGCTTTTTTTTTGGCCTGTGCACACAGTTGTGCTCAAGAGGTGCTCAGTGGAATAGCTGGGATATTATTTTTAAAACACTTTTCCTGGAAAGCAGCATTTCACAGCCTAATGAGAGTAAGCCATATGTCCACAGCAGGCTGGCACACGGCTGGTATCTGGAAGAGGCAGTATACTTATTTTCTGTGTGAGCCGATTTAGGGGACTTGTGTAGAGAAGAGCATTATTTGGTACTCCATGTTATATCCTGGGACCTGTGTGAGGCTTTGGAATAGCGAACTTTGTCCCGCTTCAGGATTTCAAAGGAACAAGCCTCTGATGTTCTTTTATACCTCAGGTACAAGATGTCTCCCTTGCTGCGACAGCTGGATTTGCTTCATTCCAGTTGCAATGTAGTTACAGACAACTGACTCAAAAATATTAAAGAAAATCAGGGCACTGGCTTACAAATGTAGTCGTGCCTCTGTGGATGCAACTTATTCTGGGAGCTAGCTGTAAATTTTTTGGCTCAGTTATGTGCCTGCAGCAGTCAGCACAGGCTGGCTGTGATGCTGAGGCGCAGCACAGATGTCCCTCAGGTCATTCCCAGTAGCGAATATTGGTTTATACATTTCCCGGTGCTGCACAGCAGGGAGGTGCAAGAGGAGCTCATCCAGCCCAGACTCCTGGGCTCTAGGGAAGTCACCAATAACTATCTGCAGATAGAGCTTAAGAGCTGTTGTGTGAAGCTTTTGGTCATCTTTGTGTGGTACATCTTGTATGTATTTTGCACATTGGGAACTTTTTGTCAGTCTTTATGGCCCTTCAGCTCTGCCAATTCTAGTGTAAGGTGCCTTACACCAATATCAAATCACAGCATGGTTGGAATACTTGTGTGATAGCATCATCTGTCACTGTTGAACAACAGCAACAAGGAAATGAGCAATATTTCAAACTGGAGCGGAATGAGTACAGACAAAACAAGAAGAGAAACTGTAAACCTTTAAATCCCTATCAGAGAGGTGGATATCCACGCCCCAAGTCTCTAGAGAGCTGCAGGTGCTAATCCCAGGTTCTTTTTGAAGATCACAGAATGGCTGAGGTTGGAAGGGACCACTAGAGCTCATCTGGTCCAAAATCTCTTGGTGAGAGCCAGGACACAACTTCCTTCCTCTGCCTAAATCTCAGAAAGTGTCACTGGATTTGGTCGGATACAGATAATTTAATAAATGATCTTTTCACTGTAATTCCAGAAATACAGAGATAGTGGCTTTACAGCAATTTAAATTAGTTTTTCAAGACTCTGAGTAACTTGGTAGTCATAGCAATTGAGAAAATGCCCTAAGTTATGTACAGTTTATAAATTCAAAACTTGGAAATACTACTCTGTCATTATATTAAAGATGTTTTCTGTGCTGCATTTCAGCACAGATTAAATTAGCAGTGGAAGAAAAAGTGGGAAGAAAAATGCAGTAGAATTTGTAACAAAATGGCAAACCCCAAGCTTTAAAGCCATAAAAATCACACACATTAGCAAAAAGGACCTTATCATCTGCATCAAGTGCTTCTTTTTCCAATACCACGGAGCAGCCCCATCTCACATTCCAACTCTGAGACACGGGTGCAAAGGATATGGCTGGTTTGATGCAATTTATCCATGCAGCCAAGAAATAATGTTCCCTTCCCTGAGATACAGGCAAGTCCAGTCATGGATTATTGCTTGGGTTTCCTGAAGCCACAGCCTTCACTCGCGTTGGCGCAGTTTCCCAATACCAGCCCTGACTTGTCTTTCAAATGGCAAGTTGCCCCATCACCTCTTCCCAGACCCTGGCCACACGTGCAAACAGAGGGAAATGCCCCAGCCTCACCCTCTGGTTGCCTCAGTTTTTCTTGGGAGACTTCTCCCAAGCATTTCCAGTGCGACACCACCTTGGCAGGACGAGCTGCCCAGCCTGCGACTGAGCAGGTACCTCTGTCTCAGCAAGGGGTGCCCCTCACGGGGCACTCGTTTGGGTCGGAGGCAGCACAGGGGCATTCAGTAATGGGCAAGGGCGTGTTTGGAAATAATTAATTTGATGTGTATTTGTAGAAGTGTACAGGAATAAAGTGTTAATGATGAGAAGACTGTAGGCCCTCTAGATATATGAGGTTAAACTTATACAAGGACTCATAACACTAAATTCCAGGGCGAATGGGTGAGTAACTGAGACTGGAATCTGACACCTTATGTCTGAAAAATTCCTTAATTGTTACTAGGTTGAAAATACCACAAACTATTATTTTAAAATAATGCTGGTTGGGCTTGGGAAATTAACACCCATATAGTAAGAAATGGTAATTTTAAGATTACCAAGCAAACATAATCTTTCTGCCCAAGTGTGTATCTTATATTCAGTAAGGCAAGGTTCCTGGGGAAAATGACAACTATAATTGAAAACTGTCTCATCATGAATGCACATAGAGGAGGGCAAGCTGTGACTGTAATGGTAACTGCTTCTAGAAGGTAAGGTATTAAATGTAAGGTATTAAAAAAACCCCCAACTTCCTGTGTTTATTAGCCCAAATGCTCTTCTGTAAGTACCCCTGTGATGTGTTGCAAATAAAGCAAAAACTTTTGTCTTCAGAGGTAAAAGCTACCTACCTGAGTGGAGACTGTTGCAGGGACCTGGAGCACTGTTGATGCTGACAATGTTTTGGTACTTTGTAGCTCTGGAGGTTTTTAGTGTCACCTGCTGAAGACCTTGGGGTTGTTACAGCCAGAGAGAGAGGAAGAAACCCTGCCAGAAGTGCTGTCATCTGTTGCCTGCAAGTATGAGAGGATGAATGTGATCAACTACATGTTTAATAAAAAAGAGTTAGAAGGGGAGGAGGCAGGGCTGGAGCTGGGCACTGGCTTTGGATAGTCTGAGCCTGATGTGTCACTTCAGAAGGGCAAGGTGCTGGGTCTGAAGGAGAGGGAAGCTTGGTTCCTCTTCCCCTTACAGTACTTGATAGTACCCAGGCATCCCCTGTGCTGTGAGACTACAGAGGCTTTTATGACTTTTATTTCAAGTTAATTCGTTATTTGCTGCCAGAATTTTCCCAAGGAATGCAGACAAGAAGTGGTAAATGGTGATTAATTTAGACAACCTAAGCAGAGAACTCATGATGGGCTCCCCATGTAATACAAGAAAGTGAACGGCTTGCTGATGTCCTTTTGTAAGTGAATTGTGTAGCCTGGTTGTTTAATGGAGTGTTTAAAAATCGTGATGGCAATAGTCTATGAATAATGTATACAGCAATAATGAAATAAAATACCTTACTGCTAAGAAACTGCTGATATGCTGGGGAAATTTCCATCAGATGTGAGAACAATTTTAAAAGTACTGTCTTCCTGGGATGCCCTTTATTTATGGTCTTGCTGCTTCAGAGATTGCATTCCCTTTTTAGATACTGCATGTGAAAATGTCCTCCACTGCCTCTGTCTTCCACCTTCCCCTGACTCCCTTTGCTTGTGCCTGTAAAAGCTCCTGAATTTTGATGAGTTTAGGCTTTATTAACTGAGCACTGTAAGCATGGAACCCCCTGGAACTGGTTTCCCAGAGAAGCTGTGGAAGCCCCCTCCCTGGAATTGCTCAAGAACAGGTTGGATGGGGCTTGGAGCCACCTGGTCTAGTGGAGGTGTCCCTGCCCGTGGCTATCTATGGGGAATGGAACTACGTGATCTTTAAGGTCCCTTCCAACCCAAACCATTCTATGATTCTATGGAGATGTTTGCTGTGCAGACTTCAGCCATTCTAGGTATCTGCCTAAGACATACTGCATCAAAGGAAGATGGATGCTGGTTTTGTGTCATGGCAATGTCCCATGATGCAGGAAGCAGAAATAGGGCCAAGTGGTTTGGAAAAAAAGACCAGTGTTTCTTTTGTAAGTTTTTGCAGCATGGGCTCCTTGCCTGAGAAAAGCAACCCTAGAGCATCACACATGGATGTTCAGATTCTGATGGACTTTGCAGTGTGAACCCAGCTCTGATGCCTCTAAATTTTACCCCATGCCCTCCTCCAGTGCATGAGGCCTCTGTGTGCTTTGGCCATGAGTAGTACGAAGTTGTTGTGATACTAAGCAACTCTCGCTTGATCAAAGAAATTAGAAGATTAAGTGAGCCCCTGCTTGTGAGGGAGCTCTGGAGGTTGCACGACCTTAGCTGCAGGAGGAAACAGGCCTTCTAAAAGACCTCAGGACATAGCTCAGGCAGGCACATGAGGCAATCACAGTCTCTTCCTTTGCTCCTTGTTTTGGCCCTCAACTACACTCCAGGAGAAAATAAAACCATGGCTTTGTTTCTCATGTGGGGTTATCACCACTTGCACTAAAATGCAGAAGTATCACAGGAGGGCAGGTGAACACAATGTATATCTTACTGATGTCCTGAGTGGTGCCAGCTAAATGTGTTAGGAGAAGACTCAGCTTGTGGAATCTGTAGCTCTGCACCCTGCCTCTGCTGTGGCTTTATTATGAGTAGCTTAATGCTTGTGCTGCATTTTTGTGTCTGGATTTACGCAGCAGAGCCCTGAGTCAAAGCATTTCCTGCAATCTGGGCAGTATATTATTAGTGTAATGCTACAACAAAGCAACATGTGATTGGTGTTGATTTTAGTCAGCTGAGGAAGTGGTATCCTCACCTGGGAGGTTGATGTGATGGGTTTTGAAGTCACGTGGTGATGCCAACATCAAGCTCCAGGCATGAGGCTAAAGGGGAAGAAAGAACAGGTTAGAAGAGAGATCATGTCTTCAGGGTGATCTGCGACTGGCTAAGCGAGAGGATTTGCCAAAATGGGAGGGAAGATTTGTACTTTTTATTGGCTTGTTTGCTGCTGGGGAGTGCAGTATTTTCACAGCTACAGGAAAGGGGGTGTGTAAAAGGGGTTAGTCTAAACACAAGATAGGTGGCAAGGACCACCAGAGGAGTCTGACTGATAGCCTAAATGTTTTCAGTAGAATAAAGAGAAAAGATATCTGAAACTTTCTCCATCTCTACCACTCAAGCTTCATCCTGCCAGCCAACAAGTGTTTTCAGCAGAGAGGGTCCCAAAGGTCTAGGCTGAGGATCACGGCCAAGTTCAACCAGCCTTTCTCAGGGTAGAAAGCCTGCTAACTGACCATATACATTGAAAAACAGCTTTCAAAAGGAAGGAGTCAGTTCTGTTATGCAGTTTATTCCACTGATGCTTCTGATGATCCTGTTAATGTCTCTTTTTTTATTCTTTGTTTCTTCTAGGTGAAGAGTGAAGGCCCCAAACTGGTGCCCTTCTTTAAAGCCACTTGTGTCTATTTTGTCCTCTGGCTGCCAACTTCCAGCCCCTCCTGGTTCAGTGCCCTCATCAAATGTCTGCCCATCTTCTGCCTGTGGGTTTTCCTTCTGGCTCATGGAATTAACTTCTTAGTGTCACACCGGAGCGCCAGCCGCATCCTAGCAGGACTCATGTTCTCGGCAGTGGGAGATGCCTTTCTCATCTGGCAGGAGCAGGGCTACTTCATTCATGGTGAGTGCGGTTTCAGTCCTAAAGACATTCCACAGTACCCAGCTGTTACCCTTTTTATTTAGTAATGAGCTGCTGGGCCACGTGTTTTGTTTATTCATGTACAGCTTAAGCCCTGGGCAGGGAAACACTCGCCCCTTGACTAAAATCCATTATGGTTAGAGGAGTGACATCACGGGTGAGTCTTTCTCTTGTGCTTGAGGTTAGGGAGGTAACTGGGGCAGGTCTGGCTCCCTGGCATGTGCTCACAGCATCCCAGCTGGCTGGAACCGAGAACGTGGCAGGGACAGAATCCCTGGGGAAGAGAAGGAAACGCTCACAGCACTTGGCAGCTCCCATGAAGCTACATGAAATATCTAGCTCCTACCTCTCTACAGGGAGGTCCGTCAGCCGTTCGCCACAAGGATCAGAAATAGGACACATGGTGCAGAGCTCCTCAGTGGAGAACAGGTGGAGAGGACCCTTATGTTTTGATAGACAAGCCCGTAGCCTGTGGGAGGTGTTTAAGTGCTAGAAACCAAAGCATCAAAAATCTTGTTCTACTTGCAGGTTCATCAGTATGAATCATGCAGCCTGTTGTATAAGACATGTCTGTTTTGCAAGACATGTAAATGATTGGGCATCAAGGGCAAACCTTACCACAATGGCCTGTCTTCTCTGCAGGAAGATACACATCTCTCAGAGCAAAACAAGCTTGTTTTATTTTGCTAGCTGGCAGACTAGAACATAATTATTTAGATTAATCATTTAAAGCCATGTTGAACCTGCCTGCAGCAACACTCTCCCAGCCGTGGATTGTCACAAGAAGTCAGCGGTAGATGAGTCCTTCACTCGTGGGGGTTTCTCAATTTAACCAGCACAGGGATCTCACATAACACCCACCAAAAACTGGCTACTGTGACTGTCCTGATGGAAAATTTTATGAGACGAGGGAACTTTTCTGACTTGTGCTGTTGTGGCTTATTTTCTCCCCCTCTCATGATGTCAGTATTTAGTTTTATTCTGGGATTCCCACAAGCTTTTTCTTTATGAGAGGGAAGTGTGTGCAATGCCAGATCTGAAAGGCAAAATGCTCTGAATGTGGTTTTAATCCTTCCCAAGCAAGGTCTTATCCCAATCTCTTTAAAAGTTTGTGTAAAAATTTTTACTGACTTTGGTGGGGTTTATAGTAGGCCCTGAGGATTGGACCTACCTGGGTGAACTTCGGGCATACTGCTGAGGAACTCCAGCCTTCTCTTGGGGTGCCATGCCCTCTGTGTCGCGTGTTGGCATTCATGCCGACAGGCCTCCCCCTAACAGGGGTACCCAGCGCAGTGCAGCTTGCCTCATCCTGACTGCTGGTGCTTCTGTTTTGCCTCCTGGAGTTGCTCCTTGTGCTGTGGCTTGGAAAACTTTCAAGGCCTCATTCTCACCATGACTGTTTTTGTACACGGACTGTTCCAAGCTTCTCCATTCTCACGTAGCTGGGACATCTCAGAGTTCCCTCTCCAGTTTAGCACTAGAGGAAGGTCAACCAGTCACATAAAATCAGCATCTGGTTAACGTGTTTTAATCTGCAAATAAGCTGGAATTTTGACCCTAGTCTCACAACTGAGAAGTGCTGCTTTGTGGGTTTAGACACCTTTTTTCTTCTTAAGGAGAAGAAAAGCTCTTTTGGACTGTTTTGAAAATCTGAGCCTTCATCTTGGCTGTCTCCTGTCTATCTCAGTCTGTGCTAATCTCAGCTACCATCTTCCAGAGCAAAGTGTTAACATCTGCGTTTCAGCTGTTAGCAGATAAAGTGCACTACCCCACTTCATCCTTCACTTCTGCAAAATGTATTTTCTCCTATTTAAAACTCAGCAGGCTGCTGTTGTTAACAGCTGACAATACTCAACCTTTTGACATCACCGTTTGTGGGAATTTGAAATTTCAGGAGAATAAGAGGAAATACTGGATAAAAACGTACTTTCTCTTCAATATCTACAGCTCTTGGGCTAAAAAAAAGGTTTGGGAACTGGGCTAATATGAATAGCTTTTGAGACAATGAGTTTATAAAAGCACATTTGTTCATTACTTTACAGGGAAGTGAGAGCCTGGGAACCTACTCATGGCACACTTTTTTTCATTTTTGCTGTTTCAGTCCACTAAGAACACGATATTTTGTGACGTTAACATCCACTTTCTTAGATAACGGGCACTTAGAAACAATTTATGCATTTGGTGAAGAAGACAGGACTAACAAAAAAGCCTTACTGCCAGCCTGAGGGGGAAGTCCAGGGGCAGGGAGGGGGATGGACACCCAAGGGAAGGAAGAGGATGGAGAGGATAAGGGCTGATCTGCCTGACCCTTGAGAGGACCAAGCCAAAGGCTGAGAAATGCAAGAGAAATGCACCCGCCACCCTCCCTAGGCAGCAGTCATAGTTTTCCCCATTCCTGGCTTGATTTGTGGGTGTTGAATGAGCAAACCTGGGAGCTGACTCTCTTGTTTGTGACCAGCCTTACCACAAATCATGGAACTCCTCCTGCCTTTCCGGGCTTCTGCTTGGCTGCTGCATCCCCTCCTCCTCGTTGCCAGCTGCCTGCATGAAGGACAACACGTTCTTCAGATCCCCATCCCAGAACTCTCCATATAATGCCACTGAAAGAAAACACTCCTTTCTGCTAAGGCGAAGTAACCTTCTACTCCTTCCCTCCCTCAGGGCTCTAACCTTTCCTGCACTATTGCACTATAAACAGCTCTTGTCCTAAATCCCTCCTCAGTTTCCTCAGTGCTGTGCCCATGATGTGCAACAGCTCTGTGGAACATCAACTTCTCATTGCGCTCCTTTGCACTTCTCTTCCTTCCCCTTCACACTGTCTGTTTTCTCTGGCCTTACCTTGCAGAGCGGATCCCCATCAGCCCCCTCCCTCCTGTGGGCTCCCCCCTATCCCACCATGGCTGAGCTTTCAGCAGATGTCTGGTCCTTGCCAAAGGCAGGGTGACACTTGTGTTGAGCTGCCTCAACCCAAGAGTATTAGGATGAAGAAATCTCTGAAACAGCAGGTTTTAGTGACTGCCCTTTACACCACAGCATCATGCCTGCCAGTGGGCTCAGCTTCCCACGTCCTTTTCTCCATTTCATTCTTTAGAGCTGCATGAAAAACTTCCAGCTCCCCTAAAAACCCTGCCAGGATGAAGTGGGACAGCCTGCAGCTGCACCATGTGTGGGTCTGGGAACCAGAGGAGCTGGACTCAGTTTGGGGCCCATTATCTACAATTGGTATGACAGCCAGTAGTCAGTAGCTTTATCAATATGTTGTGATGATTTTTCTTGTCAAATAGATTAGTGGCAAGTAAATCACATATGGGCAGTACCTTCCAACACCCACATCTGGCATTTCTCAGGGGTGCTGCACTTCAAAGGGAAGCTGGCAGTTTATTTTCACTGATTAATTCTAGCTACGGTTCATCTGAATCTTGTAAATAGCCATAAAATTGTTGGCAGATCACATTGGTGCAGTCTCTGAAAAATGCCAGCTGCTTCTTTCCAGCTTAGGTTTCTCTTAGCTATCGGCAGAGATGGAGAAGAAGCCAGATTTAGTCCCTGAGTGCCTTTGGGTTTGTGGCTAAATACGGTCAGGCTTTGAGTCCGAGTGTGGAGGGATTGGTATATTTTTTCATTCATTGTTCTTACACTGCTCTTATTCCAGCCTTCCTGTTCCACACATGACCTACGAGCAAAACGCTTTGGATAGTTAGAGGGGTGATCTTTGGTCTGCCTTGCCCCCACCCTTCCATCCCAAACACGGGAGGAGGAACCACCTGAAAAACAAGCTTTGCTTCTTCTGCAGCAGCTCAGTTCACCTGCCCTCCCAGCAAAACGGCTTGCATCACAAGAGTTGCACTTGGCTGCGGTTGTACATGTGCTGGGGCTTTTTCCTGGGGCAGGAGCCTGGTGCTAAGGCTGAACAGATTTTTATATCAACATGGTCCCAAGTGGTCAGTATGGTTCCCTCTGGAAGAGTTAAGGGTTGTAACAATGCAAGGACATCTAAGCCTGTGCTTGTTGTGGTGTATTTTAAACCCAGTGTAGCCACATGTTTTCTTCTGCTACCAACTGCCAGTCACTGATGAAAGGTCACACTTGCTGTGTCAATGCCTCTTTCCAGGTCTGCTGATGTTCGCCATCACACACATCCTGTACTCTTCAGCCTTCGGCATGAAGCCTTTGGACCTCAAAGCCGGCTTGTTGATGGGCCTTGTTTCCAGTTCCTGTTATGCCTTCCTGTACTCCTACCTCTCAGGCCCATTCACCTACCTGGTAGCTGTCTACATCGCCTTGATTGGCTTCATGGGTTGGCGAGCGGTGGCCGGCGTGCAGCTGTGCAACGACCTCTGGACATGGACCAAGCTCTCGGCCTGCATCGGCGCGATGCTGTTCATGGTGTCGGATCTGACCATTGCGCTTAACAAGTTCTGCTTTCCTGTGCCCTACTCACGCTTCATCATCATGGCTACTTATTATGCAGCCCAAATGCTTATTGCTCTGTCAGCTGTAGAGAGCCGAGATGAAGAAGACTTCAGAAAGAGGAGCTAGGTGGAGTGCCAACAGTCTGTGAACAACGTGGGGTATATCTCAGGTGCTGTAGCTGCATTCACCCCTGAGAGAGATCTCCATTTCTCTAGGCACATTGGTGATGTTGATTTTGCTTCTTTGAAGCATTACCTTGGGGCTTTTTTTTCAATGGCTTTCTCTGAATACAGCTTACTTCAGTGTGGAGTCCACATCAGAAAGCTTAGACTGTCCCTGCAGTAGCTACTCATTCAACTTTTCTTCTTTGGAAGAGCTGTACTACTGCATTTTATTTGTTAGTCTTGAAACTGATGCTGAATGTCTGAGAAGAGGAGGGTTGATAGAAAGAAGGTTTGGCCATGTACTGTGCTAGAAGACTTGCTTTCAATAGGAGGCAGGCAGGCACAGATCTTTGCTAAACTCATAGGTAAAAATGAATTTAACTGATGTTTGTCTTTTTTTTGTGCATTACCAACTCAGTACACAAACTGGAGCTATTGCCTCTGCTGAAAGGAATCCTGGAGGTAGAGGAAAACCAGCATATCCAGATGAGCCTTGGAGTCAAGGGCAGCATGTGGGGCAGCCCCCAGCAGAACCAGAATGAAAGAAAAGCACCAAGCAGAGAGCACAAAGCAAGGGGTGTGCTGACACACAGTGCTGTGTGCTTTGATTGCCTCTGACCACTGCTCCAGGACAGGTCTGTAGGTGCAGGTCAGCATTGCCACATGTGGCAGAACTAGTGGTGGCATTTCAGGAATGTCTATGTAGCCAGGCCAGAGTGTTCTCCCCTGCCATGCATGTGCCAGTGTCTACAGCCAGCCGTGACAGCCAAGATGTAACTTTGAGCATCTGTCTTAATGTATGCCCTAACTGTCCTTAGTATGGCAGACAGAAATCTAACCTTTATGCCTTTCCTCCCCAGTATCCTAACAAATTATATTCCATACACTCATTAAGCTTTACCGTACTGCTGCTTGCAGTATAGAATCATAGAATGGCCTAGGCTGGAAGGGACCTTAGAGATCATCTAGTCCAACCTCCCTGTCATGGGCAGGGACGCCTCTCAACTAGATCATGATACTCAAGGCTCCGTCCAACTTGTATCTCTCTTGAATCTTACTGTGAGCATCTCCTGTGGTCAAAGCCCTGATCTTGGATGTAGCTTTTGTCATGTTTTGCCAGCTGGTGGTAAATTGATCAGGTTTGCACCACTTGTTTTTGGAAAGCCCCTGTTCAGCAGAGCTTCCTAAAAAGCACTGTCTTGCGTGTTCAAAGCACCTGCTTCATCGTTCTTGAACTCACATGGACACAGTGAAAACATGCCATCAGGGTTGGGAAAGCCTTTTTAATTCTCATGAAGATTCGTTGGTTGGTTTGTCTGCCCATTTGCTGAGGCAAGATTATTTCTGACCAGACTGTCTTAAAAAGATATAGGAAAATGTTACCCTGATTTTTAATCTAAGTTCATTTGTAGCCATACATACTTTTTTCCTCTTATTTAGGATATCTAACAGCAAGCTCTGTTTCTGTTTGAAACGATATTGAATATGCTTTTTCCTTCTGTCCATCCTAGGGCTGCTCCCTAGCTGAGATGCTCCCCCAGTGGTTTGTTTTAAGACACGAGTACACTCAGGTGTGCTAAAGAAGCTTGCTGAGGGCTCCTGCACTTCAAACCTGCAGCCAAACAGAGACAACCAGAGCAGACTGAACAACTTGAATCCATCCACGCCTCAACAGCCCCTTGCACACATTCATGTGAGCAGAGGAAGCAGGAGGGGCAGCCCTTCAGACCAGTCTCGTGGGCTGAAAATCACCATGGTCTCTGTACCCAGCATGCCCAGACCATTCCAGGGGAAAGCCTAGTACCGGCTCCCTGCACAGTCAGCAGAGCAGGAACTCTTTGCGAGGAGTGAGACAGGGTCAGGGAGCAGCTGAGGAAACCTTACCAACCCTGCTAGCTTTTCCCTTGATGTTGAGAGATGCCAGGTGGGTTTCCTGCTCCTCCCTGGACACATGGTGGGACTGCGTGGGGAACAGGCCTCCCCACAACTTCTGCATTAGTGCAAATGCAGCCAGCTTTACAAAAATCTAGGTTAACCATCCTGACCCCTGGAGTCATCTGCTGCTTTTCAGACAGAGATCAGAAAGGTCAGCTGCATTACTGAGAGGGAAAGCATTGTAAATAGCACAGCCCTGTGTAATCTCTTCCCTTTAATGCTGTTGTGTAATATTGTCAGTATTCATTCACTGGTGCACCGGCGCCTGCCTGGAGTACACTGCTAAGGGGATTTAGAGCCATAAAACATCTTCATTCATCAGCATTGCTTATCTCCTGGCCGCAGCTTGAACCCCGCAGCACAGCTCTCTGCGGATGTCACCTGCTGTTACTCAGCCTGACTGTTTGCAAATCTCTTCCTGCAACAGATTGACCCAGCTAAGAGAAAATATAAGCATTGGGGGTGAACCCCACTGTCCCCCCAGCATGTGAGCAAACAGCACATTTCAGTCTGTTTTACAGCTCCTTGTCATGGGTCAGTCCAGCACACTCAGTCCTTCGCTGGCAGTTCTTCAGAGGAGCCCCCTGCACCCTGAACTTCTCTTTCCTTTGAGGCAAGTGCGTGTGTGCTTTATTTAAAAGTTAGAATT